CTTGGATTTAGCATGGCAATGGTGTGCAGTCCGGTGCCTAACCCTGTGGCAGAAGATCTGATCACCAACAATGACAATCTCATCCTGGGGTGGGGGTGGGGGGGTATTGTGCTTCTGTTCACCAAGCACCAAGCCGCACTATTGCCTCCAGTCAGCCCAGGCGCCAGCACTTCTTCCTATCCTGGGTTAGAGGAAGAGCCCGGCATATGTCACATGCCACAGGCAGGCAGCTGAAACCACAGTGCCCTTCCCCTCCACTGCAAATGCTTATCTTTATTATCTTTATGACCCTGTGTACCTTTGCCTGGAAATGGGATTCTGACTGCATCCGAGTTCTGCAAAAGGAGAGATTAGAAGGCAGCGGTAGCCTCCTAAATCCCTTAGCCGGGAAGAGAGCAGGGCGGAGCTGAGGGGCCAGAGCTGGATAACTGGATCTTTCCCCTTTAGCCACCCAGAAGATAAGAGAAGATGAGGCCAGGTTTTAGCTCTGGTCTGGGTCTAGCATCTCTGTTCCACTCCTTGTCTGGAAGTGGGTCCCTGGAAATGTCTCCTCCCGCTTTTCCAGCCTGTTTGTCTTCAGATTAGCAACCTAATAATCTCCAGTAAACCATCTTTGGGGCTTCCCAGAACCCACACCCTCTACACCATCCATTCAGGGGCTCAGAGCCCTGCAGGAAGAAACCAAAAGTTATTCACTGAAGAAAAAAAGCTGATTGTAGGGTATAAGAGTAAATAGAAGTCCTCGCAAGGTTTCTCTTAGAGACTCCCTGAGCACTTTTTCATGCACCAGACTCCAGGCTTACAAAGAAAATTAATCCAGGGCTGCAGAGATGGCTCAGCAGTTAAGCGCACATTCTGCTCTTGCAGAGGACTGGAGTTTGGATCCCCATCACCTATGTCAGGTGGTTCACAATCAGCTCTAGGGGTGCCCAACTTGTCTGGCCTTTGCAGGTACCTGCACTCACATGCACATGCAGACACACACATATTCATAATTAAAAATAAATACAAAGAAGGGAAGACAAATCTAATATATTTCCTTTCTTCAACTATCCCACTGAATAAGTAGTCAGAACATTTTAAGAAATTATTTATTTAAATTTTAGGTGTATGAGTGTTTCGCTGCATGTATGTAAGTATACCCATGTTGTGTAGTGCCTCTGGAGGTGCAGAAGAGGGTGCTGGATCTGCTGGAACTGGAGTTAGTGATGGTTGCTAGCAGCCATGTGGGTGCTGGGCAAATCCAGGTCCTCTGCAAGAGCAACCAGTGCTCTTAACTGCTGAGTCATCTCAGCAGACCCAGTACATTTTAATCGATGTGGAAAGAGGGACCCTGGGAGTTTCAAGGGGGTGTCCACCAAATTGTAAAGGGAAAGTAGAAACCAGCCAGTCTGAGAAAGAAAGCTCTACTGCAGGGAAGTATACAGGGAAAGATCCAGGTCTTGGAAATACAGCATCTGTCGGAGGCAGCAGGAGCCCCACAGATCTCACAGTCAAGGTGCCAGCCTGTGGACAGTGACAGAGCTGAAGCTGATGAGCCCCACATACCCCACTGAGGTTTTGTTTGTTTGTGGGTTGTCATTGGTTTGGGTTTTTTTTTTTTTTTTTTTGGTTTTATTTCATTTGAGACAGGGTCTCACGTAGTCCAGGTTGGCCTCAAACTCAATTTGTAGGTGAGGCTGACCCTAAACTTCCAGTTTTCCTGTCTTTACTGCATGAGTACAGAGATTATAGACATGAGTTTCATATAGAGCTATCCCTCCAGAGGAGATCAGTCATGTCTTATCTCCTGTCTAGTACCTTCCTTAAGCTGTTTAAATTCCTAGCCCATAGCTGTCCAAGGTAAGGTGAGATAATAAGATTAGCTTTCTAAATTATGGTTTTATAATCTACTTTCACTAATCCACTAAATTCAGAGACCCTTCCCCTCTAAGCTCAGCAATCCCTACCCTCTAAACTTAGAAGCCCCTCTAAAGTCTTTAAATATAAAGTCCTTAAATATAAAGATTTTCCTTTGCCAAGCGTGGTGGTTCATCCCAGCACTCGGGAGGCAGAGGCAGGCAGATCTCTGTGAGTTCAAGGCCAGCCTGGTCTACATAGCAAGTTCCAGGCCAGCTGTGGCTACAGGGAAAACGTCTCAAAAAGACCAAAAAAAGAAAAAAAAAAGATTTTCCTTTGTTCTGGTAGCTGCTACTAGATCTCTCCCATATTCCAGCCCCAGCCCTAGCTTCTCCCACTGCAAGTAGCCTGTACTATTAAGAGACCTGATCACCTAAAACCCATCTCAGCACATCTGTCTACTGAACCTAGAAAGAATCTTTAATGTTTAAAACAGTGCTGGGGCTGGAACCCAGGCCTTGTGCATGCTAGGTAAGCACACTATTGATTGAGCCACATCCGAAGCCCCAAAGGCTCTGTTCTAAGCATCTTTTTTTTTTTTTATTTTGGTCTTTTTGAGATAGGGTGTCTCTGTATCCCCAGCTGGCCTGGAACTTGCTACGTAGACCAGGCTGGCCTCGAACTCTTAAAGATCTGCCTGCTTCTGCCTCCAGAGTACTGGGATTAAAGGTGTATACTACCATGCCATGCCCAGCTATTTTATTTTTAATTATGTGTCTGAATATTTATCTGAGTTCAGGTGTCCGTGGAGGCCAAGTTGGATCCCCTGGAGGCGGTAGTGAGCTGAACTAAACCTGGATCCTATGGAAGAGCCATCTCTCCAGCCCCTTTGCTTCCCTCTTAGCACACACCAGGGTCCATCACATCTCTCACTGGGTCACAATCACAAGCAGTTCTTTCACACAGCACTGGAAGGAAGGGTATCCCACGCCTATGGCCTCTCCCCTTGCAGGATTCACCCAGCATCTTTGTCTTCCCAGAACTTTACCCTGAGCCTAACAGAAGCAGGCACTCAGTGAGAGGTTGTGGAATGGATGAATGAACTTGACTGTGTCAGGGCATTGTAATTTACAAAGCACTTTCCCATCCATTAACTCCAGGGCTATTCCCTTCGAGCCTTGTCTGTCCTCCACCGGCCTCAGCACAGAAGTGTATGGTCAAGGCAGCTACGTAATACTCCCTGGATGAGATCAAGATCTTGTTCACAGAGAAAGGGAGAATCCATTTGAGGAGTCTGCAAGCATCATGAGGGCAAGGACCGGTCTCACTCAATCACTTGAGAGATCGCCATGCATGAACAATGTCTGGTTCATGCAGCCGGCGTCTGTGAGATGTGTTAAATAAGCTCATCTTCCCTTGTAGTTTTATCAAGATTTCTCTTGATTAGCTCTGTCCTTTTTAATGTCAAATCTCCCAGGGGAAAAAGGTTTGATTTGGGGTTTTGTTTTGTTTTTGAGATAGGGTCTCTGAACTCTCTGCCTCAGCCTCCTGAGTCCTGGGATTGCAGGTGGGCATCACCACATCCATTCCTACTTGACAGATGACAAGACTGAGCCGAGATGCACTGTGCACTCTCCTGCATCTCTATTAATCCCCCAGCACCAATGGAGCTGATTGGGGATGGAGTGGGCGGAGGATTGGGGCATCCAACAGTTTCCTAGGAGGTGAAGCAGGCAGCCCTCCCTTCCAGTTACAAGCTTCTGTGTGTTGTCAGCCCTTTTCACCTGAGCCTACAGTGTGTGAGGAGAGAGCAGGCCAGAGAGCCCACTGAGAGCTGACGTTCTCTGGAGACTGCACACTCTGCAGCCTGTTTAGAGACGGGATGCAAAACTTGCCATCCTTCCTTAGTGTCCACGTGACCAAGAGCAAGCCAACCTTTCACCTCAATCACCTTCCCTTCTCAGGGCCACCTTCCCAAGGTCAGACAACCCGACTCGCAGAGGGGCAAGGAAGGACTCATCCTAACACTCCACTTGGGACAGCTGGCAAGTGGACTAAACCCATGACTTTGTGGACACTGTCTCCTGTTGGACTTTTATTCCCAGGTCTGACCCCAGCCTGGGAGGGGAACTCCTGTCTTCTGGGTTCCCCACTGCCACAGTCCACAACCCCCTTTCTCTCCAGGGCTTAGCCGAAGCTCCGCACAACTCTGCTCGCCTATGAGACCCCAGCGCGCCCTCTAGCGGATTCCTGTGAGAGCGGGGGGGGTGATGGTCCCCTCCCTCCCGCTTCCCCGCAGCGCCAAGAGCACCGGAGAGGACCCACAGTCCACCTCGCAGGTAGGGAGACCATATGACCAGTGATAGGGTGATAGACAGCTGCACCCCCCCCCCCCCCCAAAGGTGACCAGCCCTCCCGTTTGTCCCCCAAGAACCGGGCCGGAGGGCCGCGAGGCGAAGGCTGGGTCTTCCCCACCTCTGGGACCCCTCCAGCCCCATCTGGGACGTGCCCACAGGTAACTACCGCGCGCTCCCCACCTCCAATTTTTGGTTCCCCAAGTAGTCTGGCCGGGGAATGGCCCTAGTTCCCTTTTGGCTGGCCCGGGCTGCTAGGAACTGCAATCGTGGACCTCAGGGTGGCCAGGGTGGGGGCGAGGGGGCGTCCCCACCTAGGTCCAAGGAAAAAGGGAAGGGGTGCCCAGAGTTTCTCCGGGTCAGCCTCCTAGAATTGCCGGCGCGCTCCGCGAGCGGGCCCCCGCCTCTGCCAGAAACCAGCCTTCTTAGAAGGGAGGGGGTGGGGGGGAAAGTGTGAATGAGAAGTTGGAGGCGGAGCGCGCGCGGGGGAGGGGCCGCTGCCAGGAACGCGCCGCCGGGGCTGGCGCCGCGCCCGCCGGCTGCCCCGGCCGCCTCGCGCCGCGCTTTGTCTTTCGGTGAGTCGGGTCCTGGCCGCGGCTCCAGGGCCGCCCTCGGCCGCCCGCGGCCCCTCCCTCGCCCTCTGCGCGCAGCCTTTCAGTGCTGCGCGTAGTGACTAAACATTACAAGAAGACGGGCCGCGCAGTTCCAGGAATCGGGGGGCGGGGCGCACCCGCCGCTATATACCAGCGAG